CCACCCCCCCTGCCACCACCCCCCCACCCCCCCCCCTGCCACCACCACAATCCCTTGCCACCACAACCACCAAATCACCACTATCACACCACTACCATACCCCCTTCAAGCTCCCCCCCTCCCCTCACCCCAATCCTTTCCCAATCTTTCGTGTGTCAATCTCTCCCTTTCCTTCCCCCGCATCACCCCTCTTCCTCTCCCTTCAGTCTCCCCCCCCTAACCTCTCCCCCCCTCCCTCTCTTAACCCCTTCCCCCCCCCTAAACCCCCACACGCAATTCCACACTTCAGTGCCCTGGGTATTGTTTTCCGTGAGTGCGTCCGTGCGTGTGTAGTGCGTGCGTGCGTGCGTGCGTCAGTAAGATCCTCCTCTTTCCCCCCCCCCCCCTAGCCGGATAGACGCGCGTATACATAGGAATGTGGCGGGAATGTTGGCTGCTGGCAACCAGGCCGGCTTTGTTTACCTGTTGTGGATATATTTAGCGGCAAGTATATTTAGCGCTGCTGCCACGTGAAGTATATTTAGCGCTTCTGCCACGTGAAGTATATTTAGCGCTGCTGCCACGTGAAGTATATTAGCGGTGCTGCCACGTGAAGTATATTTAGCGCTGCTGCCACGTGAAGTATATTTAGCGCTCCTGCCACGTGAAGTATATTTAGCGCTGCTGCCACGTGAAGTATATTTAGCGCTCCTGCCACGTGAAGTATATTTAGCGCTGCTGCCACGTGAAGTATATTTAGCGCTGCTGCCACGTGAAGTATATTTAGCGCTCCTGCCACGTGAAGTATATTTAGCAGTGCTGCCACGTGAAGTATATTTAGCGCTGCTGCCACGTTGAAGTATATTTAGCGCTGCTGCCACGTGAAGTATATTTAGAAGTGCTGCCACGTTGAAGTATATTTAGCGCTCCTGCCACGTGAAGTATATTTAGCAGTGCTGCCACGTGAAGTATATTTAGCAGTGCTGCCACGTGAAGTATATTTAGCAGTGCTGCCACGTGAAGTATATTTAGCAGTGCTGCCACGTGAAGTATATTTAGCAGTGCTGCCACGTTGAAGTATATTTAGCAGTGCTGCCACGTGAAGTATATTTAGCAGTGCTGCCACGTGAAGTATATTTAGCGGTGCTGCCACGTGAAGTATATTTAGCAGTGCTGCCACCTGAAGTATATTTAGCAGTGCTGCCACGTTGAAGTATATTTAGCGGTGCTGCCACGTTGAAGTATATTTAGCAATGCTGCCACGTGAAGTATATTTAGCAGTGCTGCCACGTTGAAGTATATTTAGCAATGCTGCCACGTTGAAGTATATTTAGCAGTGCTGCCACGTTGAAGTATATTTAGAGGTGCTGCCACGTGAAGTATATTTAGCAGTGCTGCCACGTGAAGTATATTTAGCAGTGCTGCCACCTGAAGTATATTTAGCGGTGCTGCCACGTTGAAGTATATTTAGCGGTGCTGCCACGTTGAAGTATATTTAGCGGTGCTGCCACGTTGAAGTATATTTAGCGGTGCTGCCACGTTGAAGTATATTTAGCGCTGCTGTCACGTGAAGTATATTTAGCGCTCCTGCCACGTTGAAGTATATTTAGCAGTGCTGCCACGTGAAGTATATTTAGCAGTGCTGCCACCTGAAGTATATTTAGCGGTGCTGCCACGTTGAAGTATATTTAGCGGTGCTGCCACGTTGAAGTATATTTAGCAGTGCTGCCACGTTGAAGTATATTTAGCAGTGCTGCCACCTGAAGTATATTTAGCAGTGCTGCCACGTTGAAGTATATTTAGCAGTGCTGCCACCTGAAGTATATTTAGCAGTGCTGCCACCTGAAGTATATTTAGCAGTGCTGCCACCTGAAGTATATTTAGCAGTGCTGCCACCTGAAGTATATTTAGCAGTGCTGCCACCTGAAGTATATTTAGCAGTGCTGCCACCTGAAGTATATTTAGCAGTGCTGCCACCTGAAGTATATTTAGCAGTGCTGCCGCCTGAAGTAAATTTAGCAGTACTTGATAGTTTTCTAATACGTCACTTTCCTAGCGGATTGGTGGATTCCGTTAGAAATATGACGTATGATGATGAATTGTCCTATTTTTTGTCGAGCCTATTTCTCCGGCCTATTTTCATCTCGTTTTGCCTAACCGTAGTCTATTTTCCCCTTCCACTAGTCTATTTTCCTTTCCACTAGTTCCTCTTAATATCCAATTACATATTTCCACCCTGTATGTGTGCGTTTCCCTACATAATGTGTGTATTTTTAGGGTCATATACACACATATCCTATGTCATCCTATTTGAGAATGATCCGCCTTATTGCTTCGCTTGTATATGTAATAATTTATTTCAGTTATTTTGATTTAATATATTTAAATATATTAATATTTTAAATATTTCAATTATTAGCTGTGATGACTCTCTCTATGTGGCGAGCATATTTGTGAATGTAATTACTCTATCAAAGGTAAATTGGTATTTATATATGAACATATGTATTTTGTACCCCCGGTGATTGACAAGCACAACGCTATTAAATTGTCTTCACTTTGCAGGTATGTATGGCTGTCACTCAACCTTCCCAGCCCTGTCGTAAGTGTGTGTGTTCACTATTTGTGTTTGGAGAATCGAGCTATTAGCTCTTGGACACCGCCTTTCTAACTAATCTATTTTTTTCTGTCTACTACATATATTTATCTCTAACACACGCGCGGGCGACACATCACTAGGAAGCAGTCTGTAGCAGCTGTCTAACTCCCAGGTGCCTATTTACTGATGGGTAACAGGGGCATCAGAAGTGAAAGAAACTCTACCCATCTGCTTCCGCCGGCGCCGGGAATCGAACCCCGTCTACAGGACTAGGTATCGAGCGTTCTGTCCACTCAGCCACCAGCGCCCCGTGTGTGTGTGTGTGGACGGTGTCCGCAGTTGATCGCTGTCATACATAAGAGGCAGAAGAAATAACACAAATTGATATATGTGCATTCCTGTTTACCAACATAAACAACTTGAAAACACTGTAAACAGCCGTGTTATAGCCGCCAGATTTACCAACACTGGACAAGAGAGGGGTTCCAGGCGGCCCCCGGGGACCACGGCCCTGGAAATCTCCATGAATCTTAAAGACTCTGTGTCTCTTAGAGTCCCTGAAGCCTCCGGGAAGGTCTTGGAGAGTCCTAAGTCATGATTTTGAGAAGAGAGATCATTGAGGGTCTTCGGTGGGGTGTCTTGAGGTCTCTATGGTCCCCCTGGCACATGAGGGCCCCCTGGCACATGAGGGCCCCTGGCACATGAGGGCCCCTGCCACATGAGGGCCCCTGGCACATGAGGGCCCCCTGGCACATGAGGGCCCCTGCCACATGAGGGCCCCTGCCACATGAGGGGGCCCCTGGCACATGAGGGCCCCTGGCACATGAGGGGGCCCCTGGCACATGAGGGCCCCTGCCACATGTGGGCTCCTGCCACATGAGGGCCCCTGCCACATGAGGGCCCCTGCCACATGAGGGCCCCTGCCACATGAGGGCCCCTGGCACATGAGGGCCCCTGCCACATGAGGGCCCCTGCCACATGAGGGCCCCTGCCACATGAGGGCCCCTGGCACATGAGGGCCCCTGGCACATGAGGGGGCCCCTGGCACATGAGGGGGCCCCTGGCACATGAGGGCCCCTGGCACATGAGGGCCCCTGGCACATGAGGGCCCCTGGCACATGAGGGGGCCCCTGGCACATGAGGGCCCCTGCCACATGAGGGCCCCTGGCACATGAGGGCCCCTGCCACATGAGGGGGCCCCTGCCACATGAGGGCCCCTGGCACATGAGGGCCCCTGGCACATGAGGGCCCCTGGCACATGAGGGGGCCCCTGGCACATGAGGGCCCCTGGCACATGAGGGCCCCTGCCACATGAGGGCCCCTGCCACATGAGGGCCCCTGGCACATGAGGGCCCCTGGCACATGAGGGCCCCTGCCACATGAGGGCCCCTGGCACATGAGGGCCCCTGCCACATGAGGGCCCCTGCCACATGTGGGCCCCTGGCACATGAGGGCCCCTGCCACATGAGGGCCCCTGGCACATGAGGGCCCCTGCCACATGAGGGCCCCTGCCACATGAGGGCCCCTGCCACATGAGGACCCCTGCCACATGAGGGGGCCCCTGCCACATGAGGGCCCCTGGCACATGAGGGCCCCTGCCACATGAGGGCCCCCTGCCACATGTGGGCCCCTGGCACATGAGGGCCCCTGCCACATGAGGGCCCCTGCCACATGAGGGCCCCTGGCACATGTGGGCCCCTGGCACATGAGGGCCCCTGGCACATGAGGGCCCCTGCCACATGAGGGCCCCTGCCACATGAGGGCCCCCTGCCACATGAGGGCCCCCTTGGCACATGAGGGGCCCCTGCCACATGAGGGGGCCCCTGGCACATGAGGGCCCCTGCCACAGGTGAGGGCCCCTGGCACATGAGGGCCCCTGGCACATGAGGGCCCCTGCCACATGAGGGGGCCCCTGCCACATGAGGGGGCCCCTGGCACATGAGGGCCCCTGCCACATGAGGGGGCCCCTGCCACATGAGGGCCCCTGCCACATGAGGGCCCCTGCCACATGAGGGCCCTGACGTCCTGCAGGTAGGGAGAGTAACCAAGGTGCAGGAGGACCGGTTACTTCGCTGAGAGCCGCAGTTAATGTGATTTCCGCGGAGTAATTGACAAGCCAACCTCTCGCCGCGCCAATCACCAGAGTCTTTGAGGCGATCTTGGCGGGGGCGCAAGAACCTGACGCTTGCCCTTGTGTTGGCGTCTGAGCAGCAGCTGGAGGGGGAGGTCTCGAGGGTGACCTATCAAGTAGGTACTAATAGGACGTGACATACCTCCTCAGGAGGAGAAGGGGAGAGAACTTAACGCTTCATACTCGAGATGAAAATGGGTTTCCTATCGTCTGATGTTGATGATTCTTGTGTCATTGGTTTTGTTGGTCTCAATGATGAGTTGATGCTCTCGACGGCTTGATGGGTTTTGTCTCGTGTCTGTGATTGTTCTTCCTCTGGTCATCAACTCTCTCTGCTCCCTGTTCTTCCACTTTAAAGTCTCGGAACATTTGGTCTCCTGAAAGTCTGATCATTTTTGTCAGCCTTTGTGTGGCTTCTCATTACAAATATGTTAATAATAACAGCAATAAAGATATCAGGTTAAACCCGAGACGGGACAAGACATCTGGTGAGATTGCAAGCCTGATGCAGCCTGCTCAACAACCTGCTTATGGACGACCCTTAACTGCTGTTCCTCCCCCTTTCTGTTCACTCGGCAGTAATTGTGAGAACTTGGTTGTAAAGCGAGTGACTAATCGTGTCGCAGGGTAATGTATAGTAAGGAAAGGCTTACCCATGCTCTTCCCCATGGAGAGAGATGGGAGGGGGTAGGAGGGATGGGAGGGGGAGAAGAGAGATGGGATAGGAGTAAGTTGAGGACATCTGCCCATAAAGGGGGAAGGAGGAGGGGTAAGGGAGGGAGGGTAATTTGATTTGTTGCTCGTCTCCCCTCTTCCTTTTTCCCCTTACTGCCTCCGTCATTCACTAATGGTCGTCCACTCCAAAACAACCTTGTTACGTCTGCTCATTGGCTGTTGGCTCCTTGCTTTATGGCCGTCACTGCACCAGTCCTTCTCAGGCGCTCAGACCTCCTTCACTGCCTGCCTTCCTGTACTCACCTAGTTGTGCTCACCTAGTTGTGCTTGCGGGGGTTGAGCTCTGCTCTTGCGGCCCGCCTCTCAACCCAAGCCTCTAACCCCCTCCCATTAACCTCAACTGTTAATCAACTGTAACTAATTTATTATACACACACACACACACACACACACACACACACACACACACACACACACACACACACACACACACACACACACACACACACACACACACACACACACACACACACACACACACACAGATACACATACGGAGCAGCTGTCAAACTCCCAGGTACCTATTTACTGCTAGGTAACAGGGGAAATCAGGGTGAAAGAAATTTTGCCTATTTGTTTCTGCCTGGTCCGGGGATCGAACCCTTAACCTTAACCTGCCCTTAACCTTCCTTCCCCCTCCCCTTAACCTCCGACCCCCCCCCTACCCTTAATCTTCCTCCCCCTTCCCTTAACCTTCCTCCCCTTTCCCTTAATCTCCCTGCCCCTTCCCTAAACGTGGCATCAACTTGTACCAGTGTGAGGATCAACTAGTCTCAGGGCTGGTAGTTAGTCTGAATATTTAGGGTGGTAGGCTGCTTCTCTCAGCTCCTTGTGTCAGTAATACTGACGGCTCGTCTCAGCCACACCGCCTGGATAGTGCCATCCCTCCCCCAGCTGTAAGGCCGCCAGTCCCACACCTATCCTCCCGAGACTCACCTCTTGGGCCTCACCCTGGGAGATGTGTCGCTCTTAGTGTGTTGGGGTCTCGTGTTGGAGTATTGCCTGGGTTTAATATAACGTGGATTGGGGGGATGGGTAGGGCACTCTAGTGGATGGGTAGGGCACTCTAGTGGATGGGTAGGGCACTCTAGTGGATGGGTAGGGCACTCTAGTGGATGGGTAGGGCACTCTAGTGGATGGGTAGGGCACTCTAGTGGATGGGTATGTCGGCATATGTATCTGGTCTCCGTGAGGATTGCTTGCAACATGGGGGGGTTGCAAGCAATGTCAGGAGTGGGGGGGAGGTGGCTGTATGGTGGAGGCCTGGTCGGGGACCGGGCCGCTGGGACGTTGAGCCCTGAAATCATGTCAAGTTAAGCCGAGGGGTGTTGGGGGTGGGGTTGCAATGAGTGAGATTGTATTTGTGTTGCTGGTGTTGTTTCACTCTGGTGTCGTAAGGCCTCACGTCTGCAATGGAACACAACCCTCGAAACTGGCCACAGGTAAGTTAAGTGTCAATTTGATGGTTGCCTGGTTGTGGTGGTGGTTCTGAGGGTGACAGTGGTATTGTGGCGGTTGTTAGATTGTCGTCTGGTGATT